CCTCCAATTCTACCACTGCTACCCACGACTGCTTCTGCTACTGCTACTGCTACTGCTACTGCTCCTGCTCCTGCTCCTACTCCTGCTCCTCCTCCTGCTCCTACTCCTCTTTCTCCTCCTCCTCCTCCTCCTACTCCCACTCCCCATCCTACTCCAACTCCTACTATTCGTTCTCGATACTACGACGACGACGACGCCGACGACTACTACTCCCACTAGCTCTGCCACCACCACTACCATACTAGCAGTAGCATCAGCAGCCGCACCAGCAACAGAAGCCGCCGCAGCACTGTCAGTACTAACGAGGTACTGGCAGCGATAGTGGCACGGTTGTTGAACCGGCAAGAGAGCCCTAAACCCTAAACCCTAAACCCTATTTCCAGCACGATGCGATGAGTCGTGCAAGGCATCCCTGCTTGGACAGCTCCCTTGCATGCCTCAAGTTGCCTTGGAAGCTGCTAACCGGGTTTTCGCCGAAAGGATGCCCAAGGCTTTTACTGCACAATTTGCGCATGGTTCTTGCAGCTTTAATCCAAGCTGCCAACGTATGTGGCAAGTTGAGGCAATGCAACGCTGATGGCATGAACAACGCCAGCTGCACTGCCGTGATCCGTATAATTCGCGATAAGAACATAAAAACTTCGGGACACATACGACCCATTCGAGGGTCGCTGTACAAAGGTGCATAGACTGCCCAAAGTGCTTTGCAGTGCTGCACGCCCATGCCCAAACTCAGACTCCATGACAGGTCTGCTTGGCGGCGGGTATCGGAACGCAGCAGCGAGCACGAATGGGCCAAATTCGCCGAATTACAGTGTCCGAAGTCTACCTGTGCACAGGAGGGCAGTTCATGCCCCTCCCGTGATGGCATAGAGAAACAGCCGCCGGCGAGCCTAATACCGCAAGGCCGGCGAGCTCGTGGAAAAGGAGGGCGAAACCCTCGACATTACCAGACCTCCCCCCAGGCTGTTCTTTACAGCAGCCCAGAGGGAGCAAAACTTCGACTGACTAACTATGGGAGCTTGAAAACTATATAGGTGCGCCCATGACACAGCAGCCGACACACGGCATGCTTTCTACCTACTCTTCTCAAATTCACCCACAGGCACCGGTGTCCAAGCCATAGTGCTCTCGCGCTGCTACCGAATCCCTCTTGTGCCGTGCTTCGTGCTCGCGATGAAGCGTGGACTGGAACTGACGGCACTGATGCAGCACATACATCATAGTCGAGGTATACATGTCAGGCAAGAGGGAAAAGTAGAGCGCATGATCTGCCGCCCTGAGCCTAGTTCATGGTTGGGGTAGTATTAAAAATTTACATTTATATTCCTTATTGGGTTTAAGTACCCCTAAAAATGTAAAATGCTACCCAACTATGACAAAGGAGCTGTTCCGGGAGGGTCATGCTTATAATCTCCGTCGGATCGTCAGGGGACACTTCAATCTTCAGCCTCTCCACTAGCGCATCCATACCCGCCCTACCTGGGCTTTGATGTAACCAAAGGAAAGGGGTTTAGGGTTTAGGGTTTAGGGTTTTAGGGTTTAGGGAAAAAAAGCATAAACTTCTATTTCATAATGGCTCCTTTAAGGAACACGTCCCCAAAAACAAAGTATGAAAGTATGGTACTTCAAAGCCCAGCTGCTGAGCATGTAGCCATAAGCTCCCGCCGTATACCCGAACCTGGGCTTTGAAGTAACAAGGGAGAATAAAGTATAGACTTTTGTTTCATAATGGTTCCTTTAAGGTACTTTGGAGCCCTAAACCCTAAACCCTACACCCTGAACCCTAAACCCTAACCCTAAAGTATTAAAGTATGGTACTCCAAAGCCCAGGAACTGATTGAAGCGAATAAACGGCTCGGGTTGCCGCCAGATCCTGGGTTCCAAGCGACGGGGGAACAGGTCAAGACTCGAATCATTCTCTGCCTCTCCTACCTATATATATATATATATGTATATGTATATATGTAGTATGTATATATATATATATATGGATTTGTAGTTGCCCAGAAAAGAGGAAGCAAGATCCAAACAAAAAGACGACGAAGAGTATGGTAGTCCAGAGCCCGGGATCTTGTTGCGGACATCCGCGCGCTTGGCTCCGAATCCGAGTTGGATGCCCTTCCAACCACGCGGAGCTGCTTCTGCCAACTCTCGCCTAGTTCATGGTTTAGGGTTTAGGGTTTAGGGTTTAGGGTTTAGGGTAGTATTAAAATTTTAAAACTATATTCCTTATTGGGTTTAAGTACCCTTAAACATGTAAAATGTTACCCAACTATGACAAAGTCGCAGGGAGAGCTTCCATAGAGGATGAGTGTCGAAATTGACATCATCTTCCAAGAATGCTGCAAGATCGAAGCCCATCTTCCGAGCAGTCAACATTGCCTTCAGATGGGAGAGCGTGCATGCAAGAATCACCTTGTCCTTGCGCTCGGTGTACTCAACTCGATGTCCAGTTTCATTCAAGACGGTGACCACAGACACGCGAGACAAGTCGGTCACAGCTTCCACCATGTAGTTGCTCACCACGCCACGGAGAGACTTCTTCATGAAGGCTTGCCGTGGTGCCGACTCTTTCATGGAAACCCAGAAGAAGGGAACTCCATAGGTCAGATCGCTGAGACTTCTTCCGTTCGGCTTCAGCCCAGTCTCTAAAAGTCCTTCTGGATTGAGAAGCTTCAAGAAATCCTGAGCTGTTCAATGACTTTAGGCATTTAGGGTTTAGGGTTTAGGGTTTAGGGTTATAATGAGTCCCCGGCCCTGAAATCCTTCTTCTTAGGAACATACTGGGCCATACTAAGATATGGGTCCTTCTCTTAAAAAGGTTCCCTTACGTCGCATAAGATGATCCCCAGAAGGGACCCTAATTTGGAGAACTACATATATATATATATATATATATACACACATCTTGTAACGATCCCCAAAGGCGAACTACCCATTATATATATATGTACATACATATATCTATATATATACACATCAATATACATATATACATATATATAAGTATACATATATATATATATACACAAAGAACTTCCGGCACGGCCTAGGCTCCGCCGGCTTCTTGAGCATTCCAGGGGACGCAAGCAGACACGCCGTGACGACGACGGTGATGAGTGCAATGACCACGCACCTTCGGTTCTCTTGGGGCTCGCACGCGCAAGATCGTGCAGGCAGGAATGGCTGGGGGTTTAGGGTTTAGGGGTTTTGAATATTGAGACTGGTAATTACCCATAGGCCCCATAGTAGTTCCTTTTAGGGCATCATATTTTTAATCCTATAAGGTATGTCCCAAAAAGGAACTACTATGGGGCCTATGGGTACCTATTCAACCTCAATAGCGTCACATACTAGTCCCAACTCTAAGCCCGACTCCTTCAAAGCCCCAACCGCTTTTGTCCAGGCGCCTGGCGATTGCAGTCCCTAGTCTCTGCCGCCATGAGGCTTGAGGAATGACGATGTCACCTCGAAGGGCGCAGCATTCGACCAGCCATGCTTTCCAAAACCCTGCTCTATGGGGCGTTCATGGTATGAGAATCACAGGGTCTCTATCATAGCCTGGTTATTCAAGTACCAAAAGGGAGATTACTTCCAATTATTCCGACCTCGCTTCAAGGACCATGGGACTTTGTAAGTTGGGCTTTAAGCAGGGTAACTCTATAGCTTTCATCTACTTCTACCCCAGCAGAGGCACTTCTAGCACGAATTACTTACTTATGAGTGCCCTGATGCGCAAAGGAGCCTAAAAACCCAAAAAAAGGATTCCGAAAACCCAACATTTGAGTGGCACCTGATACTTGGAGGATCATGGGACTTAGTAAGTAAGGTTATAAGTCCCTTAATTGGGGTTATAAGTATAGTTACCCTAATTATAACCCTACTTACTAAGTCCCATGATCCTTTAAGTAGGCCAACACCACTGAGATGATCGGCAGGAAAGGAGAGTAATCCCAAACCCTAAACAGGCCCGTTAAGAACTCCTGCAAGACCTAAGCAGCCCTACAAAAACCCTAAACCCTAAACCCTAACAAGGCCCATTAACAACACCTACAAGACCCAACCAGCCCTACAAAAACCTTCATCCAAATCTTCGCCTGTCGTCATTGAGGGCTCTGCCGGTCGAAAAATGCGAGCGCTTGATGCAAATTGGCTTCGAGCATGCGGGCTGTAGGGTTTCGGGTGTAGTTCGGGCTTTACGTTTTGAGGTGTAGTCTTCAGGTTGCAGGACTTAGTTGGCGTTTGGGTGAAAGGGTGAAAGGGTGTTTGGTTTAGGGTTTAGTGATTAAGGGTTAGGGTAGGTGTGAGGTTCAGGGGCTAAGGGCTCTTCTTCGGCGGATACCCAAGCCGGCATAGTCTGTCTGGTGCTTAGTAGGGAATGGGGGAATGGGTTATAGGGACTACTATAAGGGACCTTAAGGGAGTTTCATAGGGATCCATTCCCCCATTCCCTACTAAGCACCAGACAGTAGTTGGTGAGGCCCTACATTGCCCGGACATGTGGAGGATCGGAGGGTTCGAGACACCTGGGCGGTTCGAGAGGGAGGACATGCGCTATAGAGAAACCCAACCGTTGGGCCGTTGGGGACTCCGAAGCACTTGGGTAGGCTTTAGGCATCTAGTGTCTATGAGTTTGGGGCTTATAAGTTCGGGTAAACTAGGGTGCTTCTAACCGGGATTGGGGTAAGGCTTCATGAGGGAAAACTGCTTTACCCTGATTCTGGCTTCGCGTTCCAGACCATGCCGATTTGGCTTCTGTAGTAGTGATTCCATCACTTCGATTCGTTCGTTCTTAGCTTAGCAACTTGGGTGTCCGAAGTGTACAGGAGCCCTTTAAAGTGGTCTTGACAAACAGCTTCGGAACAAGGAAGCATCGAACTCCTGTAGAACGTCCGGAGCAAGCAGCAGGGGCCCCCCTAATTTTCACCCATGCAGAATTTAGGGTTTAGGGTTTAGGGTTTAGGGTTGAATTTATGGGATCCTCCCCGACAAGGATCCCGAATATCAAGATAGCCTGCTTCCCGAGATTGCTTAAAGCATGAGCCCTGCAGCCTCTCGATGAGAGTGGGTGCAGCGGGGAAGCCACATGGCTTCAGCTCCAGAGATGGGTGATGCATCCGAAAAACCCAAATGCCCTATAGAGCCTAAACCTTAAACGGCCCGTAACTTTAACTTAAAACCAGAAAACCCGAACTCCTTACCCTGCCCATACCCTGAAACCACACACCCCGCACCTGACAATCGGCTTTAGCTTCTCAGAGCTTCCAAATGATCGACGGTCAGGGCTTTGCTGTGTGCCGCTAGCTGCCGTTCTATGAGGAATATGAAACCTTTTACAGTGTGCTTGGCCGGGGGGGGAAGGGGTTCTTGGTACCCTAAACCCTAAACCCAGCGCAGAGCGCGAACCTACAAACCTCTCCGTAACTGCGACATCTAAGGCTCAACAGCTAAGGTCTTGGGCGCCATTGCAGCAAGTAGCCAGCTGGAGATAGTGTAAGAACCGGATTAAGAAACCCTGGTGCCGTAACACCGAAAAAAGTAGGATGCATAAAAAGAACCCAAATTAACAAAAGACCCAAATTTCTGAATCAGGTCCCTACATTACCCTTGAGAGCGAGAGGGAGCCTGCAGGCCAATAAAGGAACCTAAGAAACCATGGGTCTTGCTCGGGTTCTTCTTTGTGGGGAAACCTCGAGAGTCTGAACTGAGGCTCTTCAAATCAATCCTGATCAGGGTTTCTTAGGTTTCTTAGCCATTTTCCTACATTATTCAGGGCTTGGGTGCAGCGTTCCCTCCTGCAACCTGTGATACGACCTTAGGGCTTAGGGTTTCGTCCGAGAACGACCAGAATCTACTCCACGGCTTCAGATGTCCCCCCCCTCCTCCGAAATCGGCCCCCTGTTCTCTATCGGCGTCTTGTTGAGCCTGTAGAGCCCCCCCTTGATCAAGAAGGGATTCTTAGAAAGTTCCGACTTCGCAAACTTCTTTGAGGGCTGGTACTTGGAGGGCCGGTACGTCCAGAAATTCCGCGTTTCCCCGCGCTCTCCGCCTTTCCTTTCGTCTCATGGCACCCAGAGACTCCAATATTCCTTAATTAAGGAATATACCGTAAATCATACTAAGGATCCTACTATAATTTAAGGAATATTCCTTAATTAGGGGATATTGGAGTCTCTGGGCAGCTGACGGAATCGAGTCTCTGGTCTCTCCTAGCCTCCTAAGTTCTTGCGCACGTGATCTTGAACCCTTAGGGTTTAGGGTTTAGGGTCCAAGTTATGGTATAGTATATACTTTGGGGGTCCAAATACCTACAAAGTAGCTACCATATTAGTACTTGGACCCTTTGGGGAACACTAAACCCGAAAACCCTGAAGCAGCTAACGCATCGAGCCCTGAACCCTAAACCCTAAACCCTAAACCCTGACCTTAAGGGTCATGAACTGAAGGAGGTCACGGCTAGCTTCTCAGAGAGCCCGGCACCCCTCAACCAAGGAACATTGAAAGTCTTAGTGGGTTCTATATGGGTAGTTGTCAAAATTATGGTCCCATTTGGGGTACCCTAAATAATGGGTGCCGTATTATAAAAAGGACCCAAAAAGGGATCATAATTTTGACAGCCACCCATATAAAGGCTTATAAAGGTGTTAACAGGGCTGGGCAGAAGTATACCTCAACCTTCCAGGGCTTACTGCAATCGCCTTGTTCGGCACTTCCCTCAACTAAGGGGCGTTGCTCTCTGGGTTCTGCAACTCGCTTGTGGAGTTCAAGTAAGCTTGTGATCTGAAAGGCAGGACTGGGAAGTCGTCATCGGCTCCGACAATCCTAACCCGGCGCCCCAAATACCCCAGGCAAGGTTTCGTGTGTGTGTGTGTGTCTTATACTGAAGGGGCCTTAATAAATAATTAGAATAGGGTCTTGGGCCCCATTATACTATAGATAATCAGGAACTCCCAAAACAGTATTGGTAATTATTTAGGCACCTATATTATGTATGCTGTTCTCTACTTCAGAACCCTAACCTGGAATGGTACTGTCTGTATGCTTCGAGCCTTATAGCTCCAACACTCCCGAGGTCTATACAATTTCAAGGCCTTCATAACCTAAACGACGATCTACATCCTAAGCGTCCTAGAACACCCTAAACCCTAAACTTGCAACCCTAAACCCCAAATGTCCTCAAGCCCCCCTAAACCCTAAACCCCTAAGCCCTAAACCCTGCCTTCTAGCACCTTTCCCAGAGATTCCAATACCCCTTAATTAAGGAATATACCTTAAATTATAGTAGGGATCCTACCATAATTTAAGGTATATTCCTTAATGTTCTGGAGCTTCATAATTATGACATGTGGGTAGTTGTCAAAATTATGGTCCCTTTTGGGGTACCCTAAATAATAGGTGCCGTATTATAATAAGGACCCAAAAAGGGACCATCATTTTGACAACCACCCATAAGTTGCCCTGTGCAGGCACTCCAGGGGTTGGGTTCGCGAACTTACCGGCTTTCTGTTTAAGGCTTTTTTGCAAAGGCATTCTACTCTAGGGGTTTGTTCAGGGTTTATGAACTCGGGGTTTTGGAGGGGCGTTTTGTGCGTGGAAGGCTTCGGCCTTGGAGAGTGGGGAATCCCGGGCCCAAACCAAAGGGGAGTCTTCTGGTTTAGAGTTTAGGGTTCAGGGTTTAAGGTTCAGGATTAAGGGTTCAGTTTTGAGGGTTTAAGGTTTAGGGTTTAGGGTTACCCTGAGCCGCTCCATTGAAAAAGAACCAGTCTTCGAGACCCTAGCCCCCAAACCCTAAATCCTCCAGCTTTCAATTGGACCCTAAACCCAACCTCGAAGCCCAAATAGAACCCAGAGAGCCCCATCTAAGGAATCCTTGAGATGGCAGGAAGAAGCCCCATAAAGGGTTCTGGTTACTTGAAGGGTTTTAGTGCCCCTTTAGGGTTGAGGGTTTAGAGATTTTGTTGCCCTAAACCCAAGGATTGATGTGCCTTGCCGACAGGAGAATCGGCTGGCCGCTGCCTGCTGGGATCAGCAGATCTACATCTTTGATGCACCCGGCCTCAAGTGCATCCGAGTGCTGAAAGGCCTGGGCAGAACCAGAGCTTTGGGGTTTGGGGGAATTGCCTTACCTGGTATCTCCTAAACCCTAAACCCTAAACCCTAAACCCTAAACCATGAAAGGGTTTCATTGTTTGGGAGTTTGCGCAAGAGCATTCATGTGACAGTATGCAGAAAGCGTAGCAGGCAGAGGAATGACAACACAATGGTGACATGCGTCGCAGTATCACGAAAAGGAGGCCCTAAAGTACTTCCTTTCTGGGGTTCATATACAGACTCCTAAAGGTATGTAGACGAACGGCAGAAAGAACACTGCTTGTTGCTGAGTTTTTCGGCCAGCGTACCTGCCAAAGGTCTGCATTCGCTTGCCAGTGTGAGGAAGTAAAATGAAGGTAGCACAACTTGTGCAGCTT